CACCATGGTTTATCATAGTAAAACAACAGAAATCAATAAAAAATAAAGTAAAATATGCAACAAATCCACTTATCTTGCTAGAAAGGTGTTTATCTGAATCAGGGATAAATCAATACATGTTGATTTATAGCTATGATATCCCAGCTGAAAACTGGGTATCAAACAGGTTAAGGCAAATAGGTAAAACTACATATGTTTATGTCTGGGAAAGGGTTCCTACTGAAATGTATATGTATTCTTTCCTCAAAGTATGTATAGATAGCATGTGTGTATATACTTATGCATGTCTGAGCACATAAACTTATTTTTAAATTGTCAGCAAAATAAAACATGGTAAAATATATATGCATATGGTTGTGAATTTATGGTGGGTTTTTATTTCTAAACAGATCTGTAACTAAAAACAGAAATATCTTTTTATGGGAGACAGCTGGTTGGCCAATTAAGTAAAAGCAGCAAGAAAGAGGGTTCAAACTAACAAAACATTTCTAGGCAAGGTCTGCTTGGGAGTGTTATTAGACCTTTAGCTTGTGACCTAAAAGCACATGGGCATGGACTTTGTTATTTCATGATAACAATCTGTTAAAAAAAAACATTCTGGTTGGAGTGGCAACTTTTGGTATCAGCATAATACAAAGGAAGCCTGAAATTAGGAAAAAATGAGAAATAAGGAAAAAGTAGATAGATGATAGAGATAGATAGATAGATAGATAGATAGATAGATAGATANCCACCAAAGGTGGTTCCTATTTTTCTACTTGCATTTTTACGTGCTTTCGAACTGCTAGGTTGGCAGAAGCTGGGACAAGTAACAGGAGCTCACTTTGTTATGCGGCGCTAGGGATTCAAACCACTGAACTGCCTACCTTTCTGTTCAACAAGCTCAGCATTTTACCCACTGAGCCATTCCATCCCTTGACATAAATGTCATGAAATTCTAACTGTCAATGATTCTGAGAGCTTTTATAAAAAGCCAAAAAGATGATAAAGGTAGATTTGAAAGGAAATGTTGTGTAACCAAAAGATGAAAACCATACAAAATAGCACAAGACCTTACAGACTCATCCCCCACCCTACCCTAAGCCTGGGGAAATAGCCAGGTTTCCAATAGGATGAAGCAACATTCAGATCTCTTGGGAGATCCTGTTGCAGAAGGCAGATGTCTTGACAGTGAAGACACATCTCTAGGATTCCACTAGATGTCATTTTTTAATTAACTGCAGATTTATTTTTAATTGTTTTTTTCTACAAAAGTTTCACAGAGATCATTCTTTGACAATTCTGTGAATTTAGGCCACATTTCATATAAATATCATAACTACGTCACATGTCTCCCCTCAATAATCAACTGTATATTCATATCACGACAAGACTACCAGATCAAGGTTGCAAATATCTGAATTATGACTAGTTGCGGTAATGCATTAGAATTTTCTGTATCACTTTGCTACTATTTATTAGGCATTGGAATTTTTTGCAGCCTATCAAATGGCTATGTCATTGCATCTTTAAATAAATTTATGGCAGAATAAATCATTGCCTTATAAAAGCAGATTCAATCTGTGTCTCAAAAGTCATTTAGACCAGCTCTTTTCCAAAGGAATGTACTATAATTATTGGATTTACAGCTGAAAAAGATGTGATAAAGGAGAGGCATTGACCTTCTAATGCCATTGGTTTCATATCATAGAATCAAAGGGCTGGAAAAGACCTTGGGGATCTTCTAGTCCAAAATCTTGCTCCAAGTAGGGAGACATTACACCATCCCAGACAAAGAAGGACTAGAGGAGACATGATAGCAGTGTTCCAATATCTCAGGGGCTGCCACAAAGAAGAGGGAGTCAAGCTATTCTCCAAAGCACCTGAGGGTAGGACAAGAANAAAACAAACAAACAAAAACGATTGGCCGTTTATTGTAGGTCTGTGTTTTTTCTGATAAGTTCGTTCTATCAGATTTTTCTCCTCTTTTAATGGTCGACACCTGGCAACAGACATTCTTTCAAGCCAAGATGGAGATAATAGAAACTGGGTCATTCCCTTGGCCATCGATGTGAACTTTTTTTCTCCTTGAGCTGTTCCTAACCTAGTTGTTCATTTCAGTGATTTTGCAATCAAGACCAGTGCCTAGATTTGTTTCCCTGTTGTTGCTGTTGTTGTTTTCAAATAGATAAGTCTTGGGGTAGGAGAAGGTTTGCAAATTTAGCCATTTTAAGCTGAAAAGACTGGGAGGGAGAATTGTCCAGATAAATAAGTGCAAAAAGTGTTTATGGAGCAAACAATAATTAAAAAAACCGACATGATTAGAATTAATGATCAGTGCAGGAAGTTCTCAATGAAGTTGAGAACTTTGCCACTTCACATTTATTTTACTTTATTTTAATTAAGAAACTTTGAGTTGCCCAGTCTTCTTGAGGAAGTCTTTTGGAGAAAAAGGTCTCTTTGTTTAGTTTCTCTCCATCTCAGGCCCTTTCAACAAGTTTTTTTCCCCTTTGGATCCCCACTGAGAACACGTAGATGGACCTCCTATTCTGATTTTTACCCCCTTCTCTTGGCTCCGTTTCTTTCCCTGCAATTTACAGAATCAAGTTGCCCTTCATTTGACCTCACTTCTTCTGGGGTTCTACACTCTATAACCATTCTGAGCGATGGGCGAGCAACTCTACTCACTCACAAATAAATACATAAAAATGTTCCTTGCACTCGAAAAAGAAGCAACACAGATATCCTGGAGCTCTTTCTGTACAGGTATAAGTGTTATTGGAGATAAAGACTCATGCTCAACTGCTAAGACACTAATAGTGTTTTTTTTCTTCTTCTCTCAGCTGCCAAGTCAGACCACCTTAATACTGTTCATCTATTTTGTATCCAGCCAGGCTTTTAACTTTTATTTAGGCTGAATTTCATTGTGTAAAATTCAGTTTAATGTCTTGGTCTTCCGAGATCATTTTGAATGCTATCTTTGCTGATATTTATCAACACCAAAGGACAATATTAGGCTGTTTGAGACTGGCCAGCTCAGCAAACCGTTGGGTTTGATGGAATTATTTCTTTATTGCTGGTAGGGTAACCAGCATCTCGCAAGCCTGGCAAGGCAATTTTCTAGCTCAACTTAGGTAAATGTAAAGGTTCCTCTCGCACATAGGTGCTAGTCGTTCACTACTTTAGGGGGCGGTGCTCATCTCNCTCTGAAGTCTGTGTTTGTCTTGTTTGGTTGCAGAACCAAACCAGACAGTTATAGAGGTGCAGATGACAGACTCAATAATTCCTCTATAGAACCTATCAGCAGCTCCTTTGGCAGTTTGAGCTTCCTGAGTTGGCGCAGAAAGATGCTGAGCTTCTCAGTGGAAAACTGATTGCCTGGATTTGAGACCCAACCACTGCACAACGGGGCGAGCTACTGTTCCTGCCCCAGCTTCTGCCCATTTATCTATTCAAAAAGATGCAAATATGACTAGATAAATAGGTACCAGCATCCTATGTGCCTTTGGTATATAGCCATGCTAGCCACATGTCCGCAGAAATATCTTTGGACAATGCTGGCTCCCTTGGCCAAGAAACAGAGATGAGCACCATGCCCTAAAGACAGACATGACTGGACAGGAAAATCTTTACCTTTATATCTTCAAAACCTATTCAGTTGTGGTAACTTTCCTGAAACAGACTTCAACTCCCCAAATGACTATTGAACATTTTGGGAACCGAAGTCCACCATCTGAAGGAGGATATTCTAAATTGGGGGAGGCTGTTAATAGAGTGGAGGTGCTATTAAAATTTGCAGTGTTTGAATGCACAGATAGATGTATAGAACAGGAGACTAAATTCTAGCTTTTGAAGCATCTCCATATCTTCCTATTCCTGAATGGGCAGTTTTATCCTTTCATTCCTTCTTCTGTCTATATTGTCTCTCTCTAGGGACCAACTAACTCTTCAAGAAGAATAGAATCTGCAGCTCCTTCTGTTTCCTGTTGTTTGTCTTTGGACAAAAATAATAAGTAGGGCTCAGTGGCTAAGACGCTGAGCTTGTCAATCAGAAAGGTCAGCAGTTTGGTGGTTTGAATCCCTAGCATCGCGCAACGGCATGAATGCCCATTACTTGTCTCAGCTTGCGCCAACCTAACAATTCGAAAGCATGTAAAAATGCAAGTAGAAAAATAGGAACCAACTTTAGTGGGAAGATAACAGCGTTCCGTGCACCTTCAGCATTTAATCATGCCAGCCACATGACCACCGAGATGTCTTTGGACAGGGCTGGTTCTTCAGCTTTGAAGCAATGAGCACTGCCCCCTAGAGTCAAGAATGACTAGCACATATGTGCGAGGGGAACCTTTACCTTATCATAATAAGTAGAAGGCTTATTAAGGCAAGAGTTCTGAAGACCTCCACAAGTGTCCACAAATGTCAATTCCTGGTGCTCACAGTTTTCTTCATACTAACATTATTGGCCCAACAGGAGATAAGGGAAAAAAATCCCCCATGATGGATGGCTTGTAAACTATTGAAGAATGGAGTCATTGAAAGGATGCCCATGACTCAGATCTAGTCTCTCTTGCAATTGTTCTTTGTGGCTTGCTTGAAATAGTTTCCAAGAGGATAGTAAATTGGAATGTCAACACATATACACAATGTATACATAAGAGGAGCCTTTCTTAATTTAAACTGTAAAGAACCTTATGGCCTTTTTAAAGGCATAGATGCTTTATTTTCACATAAGCTTTAGAAGATGACAATATGCTTCATCACATTTGTAATATTAAGTAAAACTATTTTTTTGTACAGGGATACCAGCTTGTTTCTTTTTATTTTTACACAAGGTAAAGGTAAAGGTTCTACTCACACATATGTGCTAGCTGTTCCTGACTCTAGGGTGTGTGTGCTTATCTCCGT